CTCTCCTGGCGCCAAGGGGGCGCTGCTGGCGGCGATGCTCCTTCCTGGGCGTGGCCCTTGCCGCCTCGGCCACCGCTGCCTCTGCCCTTCCCCTCTCGTGCCATCGCTGGCTGGGCAGAGTGATGGGCGGCCAGGCGCTCGGCCGCCGCCCGCAGGCGGAGCAGGAGCCTGTCCTGGGCTCTCTGCTGCCGCTCACGGCGGTGCGCGGCGCCCTCTGGGCCTCCTCCTCGGCGATGTGGCGGCGCCCCGCCGGTGGGCCGCAGCGCGGCCGCGAGCGCCGCGGCCTGCGGCAGGGGGCAGAGAGGCACGGGTGGCCCCCTGCCGCAGAGGATGGCGCGCGGCGCGCGTGAGCCCGGCCTCGGGGGCTGGCCGATGCGCGATGCGCCCTGCCACCGCGATCGATCGGGCGGCAGGCGCCGACCGACCCCGATGGATCGATCGGGATCGGCTGGCCCGCAAGAGGCCAAATGGCTTACCTCCGCCTCCTCCTCCTCCTCCTCCTCCTCCTCCTCCTCCCTCCTCCGCCTCCGCCTCCGCCTCCGCCTCCGCCGCCTCCTCCTCCTCTCCTCCTCCTCCTCCTCCCTCCCCCCTCCTCCTCCTCCTCCTCCTCCTCCTCCTCCTCCTCCTCCTCCTCCTCCTCCTCCTCCTCCTCCTCCTCCTCCTCCTCCTCCTCCTCCTCCTCCTCCTCCTCGCGTCGAAACAAGAGGCGCGGCGAATGTCGACGCGGCGACCTTGCGCCGGGGCCTACGCGGGCCGCCGGCGCGGCACGCTGCATTGGAGATGAGGGCGCTCTCTCAGTCGGCCCGGACTAGTAGGTCGACCCTGCCAAGTCAAGGGTACCCTTGTGTCCTGTGTCTCGCGCCCCATGCCTCCTACATTCTTGTGGCAGTGTGCCCCTCGGAAAGGGTATTTTGCCCTCTCGCGTGTCCTCTCCAATTGAAGGGGCCCTGGGACACAGAAATAAATACACACAAATAAAAATAATCCCCATATTTTCCCATATTTTCTGGGTTTTTGTCTTCCCCCCCACTTCCCATATTTTCCCATATTTTCTGGGAAATCGAGGATTAATTGTGTCTGTGTGTTTTTTCCCTCCTGACCAATCAAGTCCGACTGTACGCGCGACCTTACGCGGGCAGCTTACGCGCCAATGTCGGCGCAGACGACTCCCTTTTTTTGCGTCGCCCAGATGGCTTCGTTCTTTCTGCACGGACCCCCCAGCAGTCCCGACCCTGAATCCCCAGGACCGGCTGTCCGTCCTCGGGCGTGATTGTTTAAAGCGGCCCCAGGACACACAAATAAATACACACAAATAAATATGCTCCCCATGTTATCATATATTTTCCACGTTTTGTCTTCCCCCCACTTCCCATATTTCCCATATTTTCCTGGGACCCGACGATTAATTGTGTCTGTGTCTTTTTCTCATCCTGATTGTTGAGGGCCCGAGGGCCTGGCGAGAGCCCCCAGGCGGCGGACAGCTGCCGAAAGCCTCCATCTTCGCCTTCCAAAGACGTTGGATATCTGACCTTCGGGCCAGAAGTCGTACCTCCACCGGCCGATTGGGACGATCCCGGGGACATTCTCGACGAGGCGCAGCTGCTGGAAAGCGCCCCGAATCGAAGAAACCCTGCAAGAGCCGACGAAGATGGCGAAGGACCGACGGAACCAATTTCTGACCCAGGCGTCCAACATCTCGAGCTTCTCCATGCGGGGCCCCTAAAAGGTCTGGAACTCATCCCCGCATCTCGGGCAGTCTGTTGACGGCCCCCAGGGGCCGACGATGCCCCTCTGCGGAGGCCGAAGCCAATCGAAAAACCTTCGCTCTGACTATTTGAACCCCGACTCAGCGTGCACAGGAGGAGGAGGAGGAGGAGGAGGAGGAGGAGGAGGAGGATGAGGGAGGAGCAGAGGAGGAGGAGGAGGAGGAGGGAGGGGAGGGAGGAGGGAGGAGGAGGAGGAGGAGAGAGGAGGAGGAGGAGGAGGAGGAGGAGGAGGAGAGAGAGAAGAGACCCGCCGATGCGGCCAGGAACTGTTGCACAGCGCGCCGCTCTGGCGGCCCCGACGACACGCTGTGCCCCGCGAGCGGACGGCGTGTCGCTCCGCTCCGCCCGGGGGGGGAAGCTCGGAGAGGCTGGGGACGCGGACGCCGGGGGGCCACGAGATGGACAGCGCGTCGCGCGCGCAGCGCGGTGGGCCAGCGCTGGCGGCGCCACACGCCATATCCAGAAGCTCCCGACCGTAAGCCCCGACACCCGGCGAGCTGCGTTTTTCCGGCCACTCCGCGGCAGGGGCCCCGAGCGCGCCCCCTGGGGGTAGTTCTTCATGGCGGCGCGCAGAGGTTAGTCCTCCTCCTCCTCCTCCGCCTCCTCCTCCTCCTCCTCCTCCTCCCCCTCCTCCCACCTCCTCCTCCTCCTCCTCCTGCTCTCTCTTCCTCCTCCTCCTCCTCCTGCTCCTCTTCCTCCTCCTCCTTCTCTGCTCCTCCTCGTGGCGGCGCGCACCAGGGGTTGGAGGGAGCGGGGAAGGCTTCTTATAAGGCGGCTGCTTCTTAGAAGCCGCTGACCACACATCCACAGACAAGGCCCGCGCCTTCCCAGAGGCAGGGCGGCTCCAAGAAGCCCTCCCCCCTCCCCCTGCCCCCCCCCTGCGCGCCGCCGATCTTCGTCCCGGATAGACTGCTGGTGGTTCGAAATGCAGGACGAACGCCGGAAATGCAGGAGGGAGGCAGAGGAGGAGGAGGAGGAGGAGGAGAGGAGGAGAAGGAAGGAGGAGGGGAGGAGGAGGCGAGGAAAAAGGAGGAGGAGGGGGATGGGGAGGGGGAGAAGGAGGGGGGGGGGGGGAGGGGGAGGCAGGCCGCGGGGGACGAAATGCAGGAGAAACGCCGGTCGAACACGTCATGCTGTCGCCGGCCCTCGTGCCACAGCTCGGCCCTCTGGCGGCCATCTGGGGCGACGCGGGCGCCCCCCTCTCCCCGGAACGCTCTCCACGAGGCGCGGCCGCCCGAGAAGCATAGGGCGACGAGATCTATGCATATCCACTGCTCCTGGCCAGGCCAATCCTGGGCCCAGGAGCGGTGTATACGCCCTCCTGGCCTGGCCAGGGAGGCATATACACAGCTCCTGGGCCCAGGATGGGCCTGGCCAGGAGCAGCGTATATGTATAGATCTCGTCGCCCTAAAGCATCCCCCGAGGCTGGAAAACGTCCGATGATTTACGGCCGCGTCCGAAAACGTGTGAAAACCGTTGGCTGGCTGGGGACCCAGGCCCCCTCGAGTAGTGACAAAAATCATGACGGGAGGTTTTTCGTCATTTTCGGCCTCTGGGGGCCCTCACCGGGCTTCGGGAGCGTCAAAAACGACTCAGGATGACAAGCCGGTCCTGGGGAAGGGGTCGAGATCTCTGGAGTCGACGTAATGAAAAAATCATTACGTCGGGGGTCTGGGGACCCAGTCCCCCCCCCGACGTCCTGATTTGGTTCATAGCGTCGACCTGTTCCCATGGGCTGGCTCGTCGTCCTGCATATCTGTTTGACGGTCCCAGGGCCTCGCGGAGGCCCCCAGAGGCCGAAAACTAGCGAACGAAAACCGTCCGTCGTGACTTGTTATTGACGCGAGGGGGTCCTGATCTGCGGAGTGAAAAGCACGCAGGTGCGCCACGTGGTCGGAGGAGGAGGAGGAGGAGGAGGAAGAAAGAGGACCAGTGTAAACCAAAGATTCATCAACGATGTTGGAATAAACCCTCCCTCCAAGCTCCCTCTTCATACATACGCAGGACGAAAGATTTCCTCTTGAGGTGCAAATGGCGATGATGAGGTATAAATTAATGACCGGACCCCCTTCCCCCGTAGAATCTTAACACGGGCGGGTTATGGAGTCCGCGAATCCGATTTCCTCTGGTTCCCCGTGTAAATTGAATAAAGAAGAAACGGAATAAAAATCGGATCCGCCGGAAAAAAAAACGAACACGGATCAAGCAAATCCGGAATCGGATCCGCGCGGGCGGAAATCGGATTCACCGAAACAAACACCAAAGTCACAGTTGGATCCGCACGAACTTCATGGGATCCGACGGCGGTTATCTCACGCGCGTCTGCTGAGGACTTCAAGCCGTCATTCCGGGCCCAAGAGGAAACAAACATTTAGTCTTGGGGATGTAGGCCGTAGGCCCTTACAAAGGTTCATTTCCACCGAAGGAACTGCCTCGTTGGGAAACAACCATTTGAAGTCCCTGACGCATGCCAAAACATCGTTCTCATAATACCAACGCCACGGATCAACCTGACTGTTGCGTCTTGACGATCCTGAATCCGAGCGCCATTCATGGGACCCCAACACCGCGAATCAACGCAACCGTTGCACCGTCATAATCCTAAATCCTTTTTTAAATAAAAAATAATGTGTGGTGCGCTGATCATGGGAATCCTTGGCACCCTTGCATTAAAATATAAAAAACCATGCGCGCGGCGCTAAGGCGAGAGCCACATGTTGAATAGGAACCGCCCTCAATCCGGGAAATGCTCGCCACTGTTTACAAAGAATGTGCGCGGCGTTAAAGCGAAAACCACATTTTGAAAACGACCCGCCCTCAATCTGTGAAGCTCTTGCAATTGTCTTAAAAGAATGTGCGCGGCGCTACGGCGAGAACCACATTTTGAAAACGGCCCGCCCTCCATCTGTGAATCTGTTACCAATGTTTAACCTTCAGCGTCATAAGTGGTGAGGAGGTCTCAGGAAAACGCCCAGGCCACCCTAAAAACATGCCTCGGGGTGCGACAGGAAGAAATTATTTATGAGGGAAAGGAATGGAGGAAGAGGACAACGACGAGGAGGAGGAGTAGGAAGAGGAGGAGAAGGAGCAGGAGGAGGAGGAGGAAGAGGAGGACGAGGAGAAGGAGGAGGTTGGGGAGGAGGAGGAGGAGGACGAGAAGGACGATGACGAGGAGAAGTATGAGGAGGGGGACCCGAGGGGGTCTGGGGATCGAGGCCGACTGAGCCCAGGTCATCGGCCCCTCTGTGCAACCGGACCCAGAAGCGGGAGGGCACGGGCGTGAGCTCCTCTCGGGGCAGGCCGGGCCGCGCGGGGGCGGCCAGCGGCAGTGGGGGATCCGAGAGAGCCCAGGAGCGGCCAGCAGCAGAGGCTCCTCCTCCAAAGACCGCCTCCCCCCCCAAACCTCCCCTTTCTACTCCTCCTTTGTTCCTCCTGCTCCTCCTCCTCCTACGATGGCAAAAAAGCCAGCCCCGGTGGTTGCAAACCGACCCGGCCCCGACCTCGCCAAAAGCGAGGTCAGGTGCTGGTCGTGTTTTTCGCCGCTCGCGAGCCTCTGTTCTATGTGCAGACTAGCGCTCGCACCGAATCAGGTCCAATCCAAGCAGCCTCGCCCGCACGCGCTTCGCGCACGACACCAAGCGACACCTAGATCGCCAGGCACGACGGAGCGACATGCCAGGGGCCTTATTTCCCCTTCGGCTTCGCAGCCCAGAGACCCAACGATGCGATCTCTCAATCCGCGGCACCAGGTCCCAACCCCTTTCCCACGGGCGTCTAACGTCCAAGATCCATTTTTCAGTGTGCCCGCGGGCCCAAGAATATGTGGAACACGCCGCGATTAGAAAAAATACATCTCGTCGGATGTTGGGCACCTCCGAACAGTCGACGACAAAAACGCCCCAGAGGTCCAGACGACACTGGAGAGAGGGGGAGGAGTGGGAAAAGGAGGAAGAGAAGTTCCTGGGGCATCCCGGAGGCCTTCAGGAGCCCCAGAAGCAGGTTGCAGAACCCCCACACATTCCAAACGCGCAGCTGCTCCTCCTCCCTTCCTCTACTCCCGAGCGTCGCGAACGTGTGCGAGCGCAGCGCCCCGCTGGACAGCAAGGCCTGCAGGCGGCGATCCAGAAGCAGCAGGACGCGGCATCACACCACGGACGAGGTGCTGTCACGCCGCCTGGGCAACGTGAGCGCACGCCCGCAGAGACTCCACCTGCGGGTCACCCTGACGGGACAGGCCAGGCGGCGCGCTCCCACTCTGCAGCCTGCCCCGACGCTGCCGTCGCCCCTGCGAAGATGCGGCGCGGGCTCTTGGACGAGGAGGAGGAGGAGGAACAGGGCGAGGAGGAGGAGGAGGAGGAGGAAAATATGAGGAGGAGGAGGAGGTCCACCGCCCCAGAGCTCCGCCGCCGCCTGGCCGACACGGCCTCGGGGCATCCGCAGGCGTCGAGCCTGTGGCACGCCGCGGGCGCCCCAGCGGGTCCAAGAAAGCCCGCGCCGCGAGCATGATGAAGATGATGGCCCTGCTCCCCGCTCTCCCCTCCTCCTCCTCCTCCTCCTCGTCCTTTTCCTCCTCCTCCTCCTCCTCCTCCTCGCCCTTTTCCTCCTCGCCCTGTTCCTCCTCCTCCTCGCCCTGCTCCTCCTCCTCCTCGTCCAAGAGCCCGCGCCGCATCTTCGCAAGGGCGACGGCAGCGTCGGGCAGGCTGCAGAGTGGGAGCCGCCCGGCTTGTCCCGTCAGGGCGACCCGCAGGTGGAGTCTCTGCGGGTTGCCCCTTTCCCCGACCGCAGAGGCCCCCTGCGCAGCCCGGCGAGGCCCTTGGGGAGCCTGGCGCCTCGCTTGCTCGCCTCGTCCCTGGACCCCCCCCCCCACCTGCCCCAGTTCTGCCTCGTGGAACTCTGCCTCCTCAGGAGCATCAAGAACTTTGAAGGGGAACTGGAACACACAAATAAATTCACACAAATAAAAAGATTCCCCATATTTTCTAATATTTTCTGGGTTTTTGTCTTCCCCCCCAATTCCCATATTTTCCCATATTTTCTGGGGAATCGCCGATTAATTGTGTCTGTGTGTTTCTTTTCCTCCTGAAAGAACTTGTGCGAGACCCATGGAGCCCTCCCCCACCCCTCCACCCTCCGACCCAGACGTGGTCAGGTTTGAAATCTACACGGACGGTCCAGGAGGTTCAAAGCATGGACAGCTAGGGGGGCCGCCGTCTTGGGTTTGGGTAGTGTGTGCTAGGACAGAATGTGGACAATATCGAACATATGGGAATCTTTCTGGCGTTGAAGAGGATCTCGTCGACCACGTCAGGAGCGTCTCAGGCGCCTCCGGATTTCAAGCAACGCTCTGCAGGTCCCTGCCAGTCAGCATCTACACGGATAACTTGCTTGCCGTGCGCGCGCCAGATGGGGTTCACACTTTCCGTCTTGTGGGGATGTCCCGGAGCTGCTGGATGGGGCCCTGAAGCTCCTGCGCACCAACATTCGAGTGTCTTGGAGTCATGTGCATTGGGGAGACCAAAAGGTACCGCTACCGCTACTCCCCGGACCTCTCCCGGGGGTGCGCTCTGACCAGAATCTCGAGGCGAAGCCAGCGGTGGCGACGAGGGCCTCCCAGGGAGGCCCCAAAAAGGGGAGAACGGGCGAGGGGTAAACATAAACATAAAACAATAGAAAAAACAATAAAACATAAACATAAACATAAACGTAAACATAAAAAAAGGAAATAGAGGGACAAACAATGACATAAACATAAAAACTCGGTGGTCCGCGCGGATTTCTCGGACCGGCGCTGGACCCCCCTCCCCGGCGCGCGGAGCGCGCCAGGGGCGGCGCCGGAGGCGCCGCCAGGCGGGTCCAGCGCGGATCCGAGAAATCCGCGCGGACCTCCGAGTTATGTTTATGCCACTTTTTGTTCCCCAAACCTCCTCCTCCTCCGATGCGTGGTCACGATGCAGATCCGTGGAACGATAAAACAGGGCTAGGATCGGGATAGATCGCTCCAGAGCGTTCCGGAGCGCTCTCAGAGCGTTCCGGAACGCTCTGGAGCGGCCGCGGCGCCCGATACGTCCTCCAAACCCGCCGATTCTCAGAGATTTCGAGTCATCCCGATCCGATTTTGTCCCGATCTTCGCGTCGTTTTGAACGAGCTGGCAGATGCCATCGCGGGACTTGCCGGCTTCGGGGGCCGCGCCGTTCGGGGATCTTCTGACCCGGGTCAATCCAGACCCGGGTCAGCAGGAAACCAAGAACTGCAATGCAGGAACAAAAAACTGCAACGCAGATCCTCGCAAACCCGGGTCAGCCAATACGCGCGGCCGCCTCGCGGCCACGAGCGGCTCGCTACCCCGGGTCAGCCAGAGGGGGTCTTCGCAGGATCCTGCAGGATCCGGTGCCCTGGCTGACCCCCGTCTGCACTGACCCCCGTCTCGAGGCTCCCGACAGATGCCATCGCGGGACTTGCCGGCCTCGGGGGCCGCGCCGTCGGCTGCGCCGACGCGCCGGCCTCGGGCCGCGTGGCGAGGCGCAGCGCGGAGAGCGTGCCGCGGACACGGCTCTGATCCGACCACCACGGCAGGTCCGAGGGAGCTCCCGACAGTAGGCCCGCAGATGCAGCCAGAAGTGAAGGGAAGCAGGGACACAGACACACATTGATATATATATATATATATATATATAAATATATATAGGTGTGTGCACATATATATATATATATACATATACAGATATATGCATCTGAGTCTACACATACATATATATACATATATATATATATGTATATGTATATGTATATGTATACATACATATCTGTATATAGAGAGATATTGTGCACACATATCCCAAGATACCGAGTAATTTCCCAGATATCTTGGATGTTCGTCCTCCCCCCACCTTACCATATTTTCCTGGGAGTCGACGATTCATTGTGTCTGCGTGTTCTTCCCCTCCTGAAGAAGAGAGTGCCCCCTTGATCGATTCCCAAATACGTTGTCTCGCCACCGGCTGCTGACCCTGGCGCTCGAAGAGCTCGACCGCCCCGCGAGGGGGATGGCCAGGCTCAGCTCGGCCACGCAGGTGCGAGTTGCAATCGCCAGCGTGCTCTTGCTTCGGCCCCACAGAGGGCGGGTCGGAACCGCTCGGGCGGGTGGGGAATGGGGGTGATCGAAATGGTGGGTGAAGAGAAGGGCCCCCCAGGGGCCCTGCAGGGGTCCTGTAGGGCTCCTTTGGGGCCCTTGCCTTCACTCCTCGTTTATATCACCCCCGCTACAGGGCCAGTTCTTAATCCATTTTTTATTTAAAACAAGCAAAATATATAGGATGTGTTAATACATGATTAATTCATGCATTAATTTATGCATGAACTCATCGTTGTTTTTAATACTGACCCCCTGCGTTTTTTATTCATGATCCGCACGCGGAGCATATATTAAAAGCGGCACTGTACCACCCGCCCGAACGGCGGGACTCGGATGCGATGTCGGCACGGGGGCGCCGCGGGACGGGACCTGCCTGACCGCGTGCTCGCTCCGACACCGCAATTTTTGCGCGGCACGGCTTTCGCACGACAGGCACGCTCGAGACTGGGTTGCAAAAGAATGGATGGACGCCCGCAGGAGAAATTGTCGTGGTAGCGGCCGCGTGTGAGTCCAACGTTCCATGTGGCATTGCTCTTGGATCAACGCGCAATGTGCGCATCGTGCAAGGTGTATGTCGGCTAGAAGACATGTGCGTGTGCTGTCCTACTCGCTCCTACATAGTATTGCTGCAATTCTTGCACAGACGCGTTGGTCGGCCACGCTCCTCATGCTCGCAGACCACCGACAGATATACACAACTGGTAAAGTGAAGTCGAACATCTAATCGGGCGACGATCGCAGCCTGCTGCCTCCTCTCCGTCATCGGAAGCTTGAAGCTACCTCTCTCGCCCTGGTGTCGCAGCGCGAAGATTGGGTTTGTCTGCCGCCGTCTCGTCTGCGTACCGTTTAGGGGGCCGAGTGTAACTCCGCCCTCAGGTACATTTTTCTCTCGAGCGCGGCTCCCATGATTTGCTGCGCTCAGAAACACCTCGCCGGCGTCACGCCAAGACCGCGCCCGCCACTCTCCCAGTGTGCCCCGTGCTCCTTCGCCCGGCCTGAGCTGTTTACTGTTTCTGCCTACTTGGTGCCTGTGCAGAACCGCTTAGTTTGAGAAATATTATGCTACCTGCAACGCCGCGCTCTGCTGACAGGCCATCGGCTTCAACAGCGTCGCGATCCAAACCTCCTCCTCTTCCTCCTCCTCCTCCTTTACGTTAGACCAACCTGAGCGTGAAGCTGTGGCGTTTGTGGAAGCGAAAGAAAACAAACGACTCGGGCCAAGGACACCTGGCGGGCGCCGAGGAAAATGAAATATCACGAGCACTGGAGAAGAATATTGGTGAGATTAGGCGCCCCCAGGTGTGACGACCCTCACCGTAGTGGAATCACACCACCCACATAAGGTAACATAAGTATAGAATAACGAACCTTCATATTGATGGTGAGTGTCGTCGCGGCTTAGCAATACAGTATGCATAGGTTTGCCTGACAGGCTTGCCTGTTTCGAAAGCAGTATCTGTGGTACGGGCAAATGTGGCACAATAGAACAAACACACAGCTACACAGAGTCGTAGCCTGAAGATACAGGCTCGTATACGCCTCCTCCACCACGTCACCCCCCCAGCTCCTCCTACTCATCATCATCAGCCTCCTCCTCCTCCTCCTCCTCGTCCTCCTCCTCCTCCCTTCCTAATTTCCTCCCGTCCTCCCGTCTTCTTCCTCCTCCTCCTCCTCCTCCTCCTCCTCCTTCTCCTCTCCTCCTCCTCCTCCTCCTCCTCCTGCTGTTGCTTCTCCTCCTACTCCTCCTCCTCCTCCTTCTCCTCCTCCTCCTCTTCCTCAGACTCCCCTAGAACCTAGAGATCTCCCGAGACTTCCGTGGAGACCTCTGAAGACCTCCTCGCGGAACTCTGGAGCCCTGAGGAGACCAGATCTTCAGGGACATCCTCGCCCCCCCGCTCCTCGCTCCTCGCCCCTCGTCCTCGTCTCCTCCGCCTCCTCTGCCTCCTCCTCCTCAGACCTCAGACCCCCTACGTCATGATTTGTCCATGACGCCGACCCTCAGAGGTGCCGACCCATGATATCCAGGACTGGATTCTCGTCCCGAGTCGTATTCTGGCGTCCTCGGGCCCAGCGGGGGCCCCCGGAGTCAGAAACAATAGCAGGAGACCGGCCGTCGTGTCTGTCCACGGCGCGAGGAGGCCTGGGTCGCCCTCTTTTGGCGGCGCGCGCAAGGGGGTGTGGGGGGGAGGGCTTCTTAGAAGCAGGCTGCTTCTTAGAGCGCCGGCCTTACATCTCTAGATAAGGCCCGCGCCTTCTAAGAAGCAGGGGTGCTTCTGAGAAGCCTTCCACCCTCCCCCTACCCCCTTGTGCGCGCCGCCAAGCCACGACGCGAGGAGGTCTGGGTCGCCCTCGTGGCCGAGCGCGGCAGTTTCAGACCTCGCCCTCCTCCTCGGCATCCAGCGCGGGGCCGCCGCTGCCGCTGCAGCCCATGCCGCACCTGCGGCGGCTGCCGGAGGTCTCTGAAGGGCGCGCCTCGCGCGCCCAGGGCGCGGCTTCGGGCCTCGGGAGGCCTCGGGCTGCTTCTGGGGACCTACGAAGAAGAGAAGGCCCAGGCCTGCTCCCGTCGCGGGAACACATATGACTGCTGCCTTCTCGCTACTGTGAGCTCTCGGGGGCCATGGCCAGGCCTCAGGACAACAAAAACAACTCTGGATGAAAAGCCGGTCCCAGAGAGCGGGTCGAGAAGGAGGAGGAGGAGGAGGAGGAGGAGGAGGAGGAGGAGGAGGAGGCGGAGGCCCCCCAAAAACATGACGTCGGGGGTCTGGCGACGGCATGCGCCTGAGCTCTCAAGCGCCGCCCATGGCGGGCCTCGTGCGCCAAGATGGGGGGGGGGGAGGGCAGGGCAGCACCGACCGAAGACATCTCCGAAAACCTGTGCCCATGTGGCGGGTTCTGGAAATCTTGAACCAAAAAATTGCACCATCTCTTTTTCGAGGCAGATTCCCGCTTCCGCCGGCCTAAGCCGGCGGAGGCAACATCGTTTTACTTCCGTTGCCTTCCGTCGGCCTTCTGTTGCCTTCCGCCGAGGAAGGGCCTTGTCTGGAACGCCTCAGGGCATCACAGGATCACCCCAGCTACGCCGCTGCGGCGCAAGGAGGAGGAGGAGGAGGAGGCGGAGGAGGAGGAGGAGGAGGAGGACGAGGAGGGAGGAGAAGGTAGGAGGAGGGAGGAGGAGGGAGGAGGAGGAGGAGAAGGAGGAGGAAAAGGAGACGGAAAAGGAGGAGGAGGAGGAGGCGAAGGAGAAGGAAAAGGAGAAGGAGAAGGAGCGAGGAGGAGCGTGGAGGCGGAGGAGGAGGAGGACCAGTGGAAACTCAACGATGTTGACATAAACCCTGCAAGCTCCCTCTTCATATGCCCCTACAGCGGTCCATTTCCACTGAAGAAACTGCCTCGTGGGAAGACAACCGTTTGAAGACCCTGAAGCATACCAAAACATTTTTCTCGGGATTCCAACGCCACGGATCAACCATACTTTTGCGTCTTGTTTATCTTGAATCGCGCCAGAACGCTATTCCTGGGACTTCAACACCGCGAATCAGCGTGACTGGTGCACCCTCATAACCCTGAATGCTTCCACAACACAATGTCTGGTGTGCTGATCATGGAAAGAGCGTGTTCTAGCGCTGCTGGCGGAAAACCGGGGGGGGTCACTACCGGTTCGAACCCCTCCCCCCCCCCCCCCCCCCCCCTCCCGAAACCGTGGGGGGTCACTAATACCTGTTCGAACCCCTACCCCCCCCCCCCCCCCCTGCTCATCATGAAAAGGGGGGGGGGTCACTACCGGTTCGAACCCCCCCCCCCCTCCGGATCCGGAAAACCGGGGGGGGTCACTGCCGGTTCGAACCCCCCCCCCTCGAAAACCGAGTGGGGGTGCGGACAGTGGTGGGGACGGTGTTGGTGGGGACAGTGGTGAGGGGACAGCGGGACCGTGGTGGGGACAGTGGGACAGTGGGACAGTGGTGGGGACGGTAGTGGTGGGGACAGTGGTGGGGACAATGGTGGGAACAGGGGGGGACAGTGGACAGTGGTGGTGACGGTGGTGGTGGGGACAGCGGTGTGGGGACAATGGGAATGAGGTGGAAACAGTGGGACAGTGGAGGGTACAATGGTGGTTGGGACAGTGGTGAAGGCGGTGGCGAGGACGGCGGTGGGACAATGGGACAAAGGTACAGTGGGGACATTGGTGGGGACAGTAGGGACAGTGGTGGGAACAGTGGGACAGCTCAGTGGGACAGCGGCGGAGTCAGTGGGACAGTGGGGACAGTGGGGATAGTCGGGCAGTGGTTGGGGCCGTGGAGACAGTGGGGAGAGTGGAACCGTGGTGGGAACAGTTCTGGGAACAGCGGGGACAGTTGCGGGGAAGGTGGGGTCCACTGTGGGACCCCAACGGAGCCCGTGCACGTGGGGACAGCGTGTTGAGGACAGTGGTGCTGGGAACACCAGTGGGGGATGTGATCGACGGTGTTGGGCCGGGAGTCGTTGCTGCGGTGAGGAGGGGGGAAGGGGGGGGGGGGGGGGGTTCGAAGCGGTAAAGTGACCCCCCCCGGTTTTTTCCGGATCCGGATAGGGGGGGGGGGGGGTTCGAACCGATAGTGACCCCCCGTTTTTCGGGCGGGAGGGGGGGGGGGGGGGGGGGGGGGGGGGGGGGGGGGGGGGGGGGGGGGGGGGGGGAGGGGGGGGGGGGGGGGGGGGGGGGGGGGGGGGGGGGGGGGGGGGGGGGGGGGGGGGGGGGGGGGGGGGGGGGGGGGGGGGGGGGGGAGAGGGTTTAGGGGAAGGGGGGGGTTTTACCAGGGGGAGGGGGGGGTGGGGGGGGGGGGGGGGTGGGGGGGGGGGGGGGGGGGGGGCGGGGGGGGGGGGGGGGGGGTGGGGGGGGGGGGGGGGGGGAGGGTTTTCCGCAGGGGGGGGGGGGGGGGGGGGGGGGGTGGGGGGGGGGGGGGGGGGGGGGGGAGGGGGGGGGGGATTTCGCCTTCTGACAGGGGGGGTCTCGGGAAGGGGGAGGGGGGGGGGGTGGGGAGGAGGAGGGGGGGGGGGGGGGGGGGGGGGGGGGGGGGGCGACCACCCCGGGTTCCGGAGCAAAAGGTTGGCAATTTTCCACAGTAGAGCGGCGGTGGATCACGCTCTCTCTGATCATGAGAACCCGTGAAACTCTTTCAAAGTTTAAAAGCGAATGCGCGCGGCGCTAAAGCGAGAGCCACATTTAGAAACATGAACCGCCCTCAATCCGTGAAGCCCTTGCACATGTTTAAAACGAATGTGCGCGGCGCTATAGCGAGAGCCACATTTTGAAAACGGCCCGCCCTCCATCTGCGAAACGATTGCCAATTCTTAAGCTTCAGGATCATAACCGGTGAGGACATCTCAGGCGAAACGCCCGGCCCGCCCTAAAAACTGGCCTCGGGGAGCGACAGGGAGACGTGATTCATAAGGAAAAGGAATTAAGGAAAAGGGGTGGAGGAGGAGGACGAAGGGGGAGGAGGAGGAGGAGGAGGAGGAGGAGGAGGGGAAGTGAGGAGGAGGAGGAGGGGAAGCGAGGAGAAACGAGGAAACGCATGGAGGGTGCGAGAGGCGCAGCACGAAGGCTGCTGCCGCTGCCGCCGGATGTGCTGCGGCGGGCCGGGCGGGCCCGCCGCCGCGGCCTGGGCCCCTTTCCGCTGCCGCCGCTCCTGGACATCCGACGGTGGGTTTTTGCTCCAGGCGCGGCCCCAGACCCCTCCTCCTCCTCGTCCTTTTCCTTCTCGTCCTCCTCCTCCTCCTCCTCTCTCCTCTCCTCCTGCCTCCTCCTACTCCTCCTCTACTCCTCGTCCTCCCCCTCTCGTCCTCCTTCCTTCCTCCTCCACCTCCTCCTCTGCTAAACTCCTCCCTCGTCCTCCTCCTTCCTTCATCATATTCACCTCATCCTCCTCCTCCGCGCCTCCTCCATCCTTGTACATTTGACTAATAAAAATATAAAGATACATAAGATACTATGAGATAAAAATAAATAAAAAAAAAAAAACAAATGACTAAATAAGCTCCTCCCTGTCGTTCCCCGGGGCCGGTCGGAAGCGCGGGCCAGGCGTTTCGCCTGAGACCTCCTTACCACGCATGAGCCCGAGGCTTAGAAACAGGCTGCAGTTTCACAAATGGAGGGCAGGTGGTTTCTAAATGTAAAATGTGGCTTGCGATTTAGCGCCGCGCACACTCGGTTTAAACATGTGCATCAGCTTCACGGATTAAGGTCGGCTCCTTTTCAAAGTGTGGCTGTCGCCTAAACGCCGCGGCATGGCACGATTCAGCATCGTCAAGACACAACAGTCAAGTTGTCTCGTGGCTTTGACATTCTAAGAATGATGCTCTTGCGCTCTTCAGGATTTTCACACGGTTGTCTCCCAACGGTGCACGTCCCTCAGTGGAAGAGAACCCTTGTATGGAGCCAACGCAGAGGGAGCTTGGAGGCTTGGAGGGAGGGTGTATAACAACATCGTTGCTGAGTTTTGTGCTTGCACTGGTCTTCATCCTCCTCCTCTTCCTCCTCCTTTTTTGGTGCTCCTCCTCCTCCTCCCCCTTTTTCCCCCCCCTCCCCCCTCCTTGATTTGTTTGTTCCTTTTCCTCCTCCTCCTCCTCATCGTGTCTCTCTGCAGCTCGCTCGGCGGGCTGGCATGCAATGCTGGTGACTGCATGCGTGGGGAATGATGAATACGGGTCAGATGGGCCCCTGGACACGTGTGGCCACCCAGCTGAGTCGAATTAACACACCACTCCACGAATTACTCCGTGTCGCAATGCACGATGCGAGGGGACCTCGATCAGCTCCACCAGCTCCCGGCCCGCCGTGCGTCGATAACACAGAACCAAGCTGCCGCCGCCAGCATGGCCGGTGCCGATAGACGCCGGGAAGTCCCCCGGCGTGCACCGAATTACAGGCAGTGACCATGCGGTGCCTGTCGGCGACACTTTGGCCACCTCCCCATGAGCTGGGTAAGCTCGGCGGCGATGGAAAACCCCACGGCCGCCTCCCCTATGTGGCCGTCCGGCCTTTCTTTCACTGGGTAGGGCAAGCCCGTGGGTTGAGTACCACGGTCAGCCACCCAGCCCCAGCCCTCGCGGCATAGGGTGACCGCGCCCCAGGGTAATGGCCCCCTGCAGGGAAGGAACGCCCCACAGGAACGCCCCACAGGACGACGACGACGACGACGACGACGACGACGACTTCGACGACCAAGACGACGACGATCACGACGACGACGACGACGACCTCGACGACGCGAGCAGCATGTAGGTGACGATATGCCCCACTGCGCCTGTGTACACCACAACGCTCGCGTGCACCACAGCGCGCATGTATACCACAGCGCCTGCGTACACCGCAACAACCGTGTGCAACGCAGCGCCTGTGTACACCACAATGCTTGTGTACACTTTAGCGCCAGCGTACAAGTGCACACCGCAACTACCATG